GGTGTGTCCATTTCCACTTGAATTTGCGTCTCTTTTTCCACTTGCATTTGTGCCTCTTGCTGATCTTGCATTGATGGACCATCTTCCTTGTCCTCACTCACCCCATCATTATCCTCATTCTCACTTTAATTGAACCTAGCAAATCAATAACAATATTCCATTTGCATAGTGTAAACAAGCAAAGCATAGTAATCTGGCTGCATACCAAGCAAATACTCTAGAAATGTGCACCTATAAGATCGAGATATATGCCTTACTATATAGAAATATGACAGAGAGATCCAACTACTCTGAATGGTGATCATCCTCATCTCACTAGATGGACAGCGCAATGTACTGTTATGTCCACTCACGCCAAAAAACTTCAACCAATTTACGAACAAATACAAAATAGTTTCATGGAACTACTGAATTAAATGAGAGCTCTAGGCCATCTTTTTTTATTTGAACTAAGCTAGAGCTCCCTATAAGATCCCCATGCAATCTCACAGCTCATATCATGTTAGTATGTTACCTTTCCAAGATCTTTGGGAACCACTTGCACTTGCATCATGGTTGCCGCTGCCACTCCTATTTGCAGTTCCATTACCTGAAAATCAAATGACAAAAGAACACCGGTCAGTTATGAAGATTACGTAACTAAGGAAGCAACCCTTGCTTACTAGGGTGTCCTCATATTAATAATAAACAAAAAAAATATACAGCCCAATGCTCTAGTTTAGATACTAAGGAATAAGTAATTTATATACAACTCAGTGCTCTAGTTTGCCAAACATACAAGTCACAAACTGTAATCTGTTCTTGAGAAAGATAGAATGATGCTTAGTTCTAGAACCACCACTTAATGGTACCGCTGAACATTGAAATTAATCATCGGTCAACATCTGCTTTTCTGTTGAAATTAAACTGTTCTTGAGAAGAAGAAAAATGTTGCGCACAAGCATGATCTCAACAGCTCAAAAATAAGCACACAGCGCAGATATATGGAACAACTATATATTTCAGGATGTTCATAACAAGGTTTGTAATCCACTTTTCTGTTGGACCAAAATAAATATTACCAGATCTAGAGCATCCTTGGTGACTACAAGATACATGTATATTTCAGATTAATAATTACACTACTGTGTTCAACTCATCAAGTCTCAACTTTTCTTACCCCCGTATGATATATGCATTTGCCAAGCCATTTACCAGGGGCCTCTCCTTAATCTAAAGGAACACAAGTACATCGCAGTACAGATTATAACTAAGAAACAAAGCAACATCGATCTGAAATTGTTGAAGAATTAAAACTGCATGCAAGTACCAGGGACGAGACAAATTGTTGCTTCAAGTGGGAGGATATTAGGGCATCAAAAACATTCGTACCTTGCCAATCAACCTCCGCCCTATAGGCTGTTGCCGCTGCCCCTTGCTACTGCCTCCATTCAACTGGTCGGCTGGCGCACCATCAGCTCCGTTGTAGCAGCCGCCGAGCACCATACTGCAGTCTTGGAGAACCAAAGGACAGGAAGTGGATGGGTGGAGGCGAGGAGATGTGGAGGAGGGTTGGAGAAGTGAGCGCCTTGGCCGGAGATGTGGAGGAGGGAGAGGAGATGGGTTGGAAGCACTCGCCTGAGATGTGCGCAGCGGCGGCGCCGCACACAGGAGGAGGGGCAGGGAAAGAGCGATTTAGGGTTAGGTAGCGTGGGTTCGTGGTTTTGTCTCAGCGGAAGCCTAACTGGAAGGCTCTCGAAGCTGGGCCGGGCAAAAAAAATCAAACTGGGCCGAATTATTCGGGCCGATAGGCCCATATATCGGGCCCTAGCGAGACGACCGAAATTCAGCCGAAATTCATTTTTTTCGGCCGAAAATCAAAACGCAGGCCATGTCCGACAGACTAGCTTGAGCTGCCCGAGGATGGCCGCTGGCAGACGTTGCAGGGCTATGCACAGGGCGCGTGTTGACGCCGACGAGAAGAGGATGTCCTCGTGTGGCCGCCCCGTGGAGATCAGGCTCTCCTCGTACACCAGTGCCCTTGATGTTGCATGGCCGTTCTCGCTGGGCTGGGCGACCAGGCACCCGTCGGCAAGGAGCTCCTCAATGGCCCCGCTGGCAGGGATGTAAGTGCAGAGCTGGTGGACGGGCTTAGAGTCCTTCGTGGATTGGACCCCCGGCCTGAACATGATGCGGCGGCCACCGTCGATGAATGCGAGTGGCCTGACCCGGCAAGCCATGAACCGCCTCACCTCCGGCGTCGCCGAGGCCAGGTCAATGCGGCAGCACAGGTCCCACGCCTCGTTGTCACGTAGCAGCCAGATGTCGTAGCACTTCTGGTCCACATCGGAGATGGAGGAGAAGAGGCATGCACGTCCCTCAAGCTCCGTGAGGCTGTAATCTCTATAGCGGGGCGCGTAGATCACCTCGAATTTCTCATCAGAGAGGGAGAAGGAGATAACATGCTTCTCCTTGAACATGCCCTCCGCCTCAGACATCCAATAAAGGTGACCCTGCGCGGACACGCTCGCCTCGTACGAACTTATGTATCCAGCCTCCTCCGGTAGCTCGGCATCGCCCGCCGCCGGTCGCCAACAGAACGCGTCGTCGACCACGTAGACGTCGCAATCCGCATTGAGATACTCGTTGTAGCGGCAGACGCGAACCACCTTGAACCTGCCGCTCACCTCGTCGTAGCCAATCCCGAAGTTGTCGTAGCACTTGGGATCCCTGGCCGCATACCCGCTGGGCTGCAGCGGCAACGGCCGGCCCTTCGGTAGCACCGTCATCTGACCGGTGGACGGGTTGCAGACATAGTAGACGGCTCCGTCACCCGCCCTAGCGGGCGGATACTCCTCCTCCATGACCACAAGGCCCCGGCAGGGACGGGTGCCGGCGTTGCGCATGGGGCGGCGCGGGAAGGCAACGAGCGATGTGCCACGGGGCTGGTCGGGAGACCAGGCGTGCACGATGGTGACGCCTGCGGAGGGGACTGGGAGGACGAAGAGGCTGGGGAGGCGGTTGGCGGCGCGGAAGTGGCGGTCGGTGAAGTCATCTGAGGGAGCGAGCGTGGCGGCCCAGGCGCGCGAGAGGCAGCGGCAGCGGCCGATTGACCTCGCCGGCAAGCGCATGAAGATGTGGAGCAGGATGTCATCAGGAATTGCTGCACCTCCCGTGCATGGCATTGTAATCGCGAGTGCTTGCTCGCACGGATAACCCATGGCCGCCCGAGGAAAAAGGTTTACGAAGAGGAGCAGGAGGAGGAGGAACAAGGCGTACGGCCTCCTTTTTGGTCGACACAGGTGATGTAGCTTGCAGATGAATTGGATCTGAATCCATATAAGACTCCGTGTCCGTTTGACTATACAATCTCAATTTGGGCTACTTCTAGGTATTAGCCTGTCTAACGAGACCAAGAAATGTGCGCGCCCTATGTCCGTCGAAGCTCTTTCTCCACATGTATAAGTTTATTACTTATTATTATAGGTTTCCATCAAATCTACTCCTATATACAAAGCATGACGTCAAGCACGTATAGAGCGAGGGTCCGTCAAAAGTACAAGTCGTGTGATTTACCAAAACCACACGTGCACCCAACGGTCTATTCATTCCAGCTATGCTACCACACGTGCACCCTTCGGTTTACCAAAACCAGAAAGAAAAACCTTGATATTGTAGTACTATTATATTTGCTATAATGGCGGCTCGTCCTGGTCACAAGTCTAGTCGTGAATTTATACGCGCTTCACATGCGACGACCTTTGAGCTAGTTGGATGTTTCCAAACAAAGGTAAAACTCGTTGAACTACACTCATTTTTTTTTTGTTATTATTACTCGTTGATGGTACATGGTCATCTAGCAATTAACAACCTTGTTCATTGCGTCTTTCAACAGGGCCAGGTTAGAATTAAGTTGACGTCTAGACGAGGCGATGGAGGTCACTGGGTGGACATGGCAACGTTGGTCGCATGCACATGGTGACACCATGGATTGCAGGGCACGGAGGAAGCCGCGCAAGCCCGTCACGGGGTGTCCATGAGTTCCACCTACAGTCCAATCTCGATGTAATTTTTACTTTGGTGTTCTCTGCACTACCTTGACAATTGATGAATAGATCAAACGATTTCTTAAAACAGAAGTTTTTGCCTTAGATGATATAGTATCTTGCTTTTATGGTCAGGTTGTTTTGTATTCATAAGCCAGCTAAGTTTAATTCTGTATGTACATCTGGTGTAGTTGCATTGCTTGTGTGCGAGTCGGGTTTGCATTGCATGGCGTGGCCTAGTCTATCCGTGTCATTTTTGGTGCTCTTTTTTTTACTGACGATATGCGTCGGATCGGTGAGGACCGGCTCAGCAACCACTGGATCAAGAGCATAACAGTCATCCGATCTCGTGTTCCGCTCATCCGTTTGCAACAAGACTTTTGTTGTGCTCAGGTTCAAAGCCCCCTCCAACAACGGCCTTGTTGTGTTTCGATTCGACAGAGCTTGCGTGCATGTCCCTGATGATTTACTCGACAGTGTAACTAATTAATCACATATCTACATACGTAATTTCCCATCTACTAGTGGGTGGTTAATTTGTGAACAAGTCAAATTAATGATGCCTGATGTCATACAGTAATGAATAAGTGTGGACTTGACAACTATTCTAGAATCATTGATGTGGATCTTAGTTTACCGTAAAACTAAAATATTTACACCGGACGACTGGTGGTCGACAAGAAATCTGGATGGACAAGCCGAACACATTGTCAAAGCACATGCTAGAGGCATAAATTAAGCAGCAGGAGTAAGCCCAGAACGGATAATTCAATATTTTTAATATATCACGAACACAACATCCAGCAAACTGATAGCGAGTATGGCATATATACCTCAAGATAAAATGTGACAATGTATATTGTATCGAATTGCACACTCTTTATGGTCCAATTTATCTTATAAATTGAAATTTAGCAATACCTTGTGAATAAGGAATAAATTAAAAAAATGATACCCTAGACCACTCTTGGTCAGCTAGAAATCAGGAGGGAGAACCCACATGCCACATGGAATGTGACAACATGAATAAGGTCCTACAAATTTGATGGCGTGCTCACTCCTTTCGTTTCCCATAGGAAATACACAATCACCATGGCCGTCGAAACTCGTCAAGTACGTCACATCGTCGGCGTAGATGGCACCTCTTTGCACCCCACCGCACCCAGCCGCCGGCACACACAACGCCTTGGTCCACATTCTCCCAAAAAACAAGGCGCAATCACCCAAGGTTGTTACCTCCTCCGACTCGAGGGTGAGAGTGTTCTCTTTAGTCGGCTTCTCAACAAGCACATAAATTTTGAAAAAGAAGCGCTTGCGGTAGGTGTTGTCACAAAAACAATGTTTCACCACCATAGCCAGCTTGCCGTGCAACTCAACAATGTTAATTGCCCGCCTGAGAGGTTGGCTACCAATTTGCATATGCAGCTCGACAGTTACCACCGGCCGGCCATCTTTGTTTACACCTATTTTGAATTTGATCATGTCCTCCAAGTTGGTGAGGGCATAGAGTTTTCCATTGTAGAATACAATGTCCACAAGCCGTGGCCCATCAAATATTTTGGCCGTCCATCTTTTGGCTGGACAACCAATCCTGCAGAGGGCGACACTAGCTCGGGTGGTGATGGTGGCGAGGATGCAGCCACTTGAGGTGGGGGACTCTGAGAATATAACCTTCTTGTATGCGTAGAATGTCGTCATGTCCTTTGCATGGAGAGGCACCTCGGCGCCCGAGAAGAGGTTCACGATCGCAAGATGTGTGTCATCGCCAAGCGCAGCGACCCAGCCGCCGTCGTGCGCTCCCGCAAACGTCTTGCCGATGAGCGCCTTGGGCAGCGGGAAGTGTAGGAATCCGTCGTCCTCGGGGCAGTATACCCTCCTCATGTTGCAGTACTTGTCGTCCAGGCCATAGTTGAAGATGAGCCACGGCAGGGTGGGCAGCCCGGCGTGCCTCGCGGCGGCCCGCCATGGCCTGCAAACCGCGGCAAAGCGGACGCGGTGGAGCAAGCCTCCGACCCTAACAAAGAGCACGTGGAGGAGATCGTTAGGGAGATCTGTCCACTGCACCGACGTCGCCATGGACGGAGTACGTGCTCCGTGTGAAGGTACGGCACCGCCGCTGGCCATCCGCGTAGGGTTCCGTGGGTTTAGCTATCAACTGCAGCCGTACGTGCTTGGGCTAGCTAGCATATACGGGCGTACTACAATATATAGTCTTTCGTTGCATCGGTGGAGTCGGACACACGAAACTGATTTTCTGTACGTATATTGTTCCGCCGTCCTCTGTATGACCGAGGCCGTTACGTTAAAAAACGATCTTTTCTCCTCCTCAAGAAAAGTCTAGGTTCCCTCATCTCCGGTGGTCTTGACCATTGCGGTGCGGTGGATCTCGGCCCTTGTCAGCAGGATGGCTTTGTTTTTAGTTGTTTCATCATTTTTTATTAAGGCTTATATCATGCTCAAGAAGACAAGACGACGACGACTTCCAGAAGATGAAACAAGGTTCTCCCTGCCTACCCCTATTCAGATGGTGTGTCTAGCTTTATCAGTGGGCGTGTGGAGGTGTGTCTCTGACGGGTCTATCCTTGATGAATTTGCTCGGATCTAGTCATAATTAATCTACGTCCATGTGTTTTCAGGTTGGATCCTTATGATCTACGCTACTCTTCATCGACAGCACTTGCTATTCTATTATGTTTGTCCTATGGGGGCTTAGCACAATAACTTCCCAACTGTGTATACAACAAGTTTTGCCTGACTCCAGTTATGAAGAGGCAACGACGGCGGCGTCCCTTCGGCTCGCTTCAGTGTTTGTAGTTGTCACTATGTGGTTTACGAATTTGGATTAAATTTTTATTATTTCTCATGTTTATTGCACCATGATTGAAAATGAATAGATCGAAAATTCTCTTGAAAAAATTGTAGCATATAGTTGGTCGTTGAGGGGTGATCCGTCCTACATACCTAGGCCTACCTAGGCAGGCGTACGCGTGTGGAATCCACATGAGTTGCGTCAACATCTTGCTGGCGACAGAAACGAAAAAACAGTCTGTATTTTTGGATTGTCTACAGTGGCGTAGCCACAGGGTGGCCAGGGTGGTCCATGGACCACCCTGGGATTTGGCCCACCATCAGCCCATGAGGAATATTTTTCTGCGTTCAGAGAGAGAGAGAGAGAGAGAAAAAACATAGGCCAGCTACGGGAGCCCACATTACCATTTCCAAGTACTTGCACATGGCTAATCTGCCTGCTGATCGTTCTCAACTTCCGATCCTGAATAAATGTATGGAGATGCAACTTATTCTGAGCTCCGATGCTCCTGATTCCTCCTGAACGGCTTGAGCTAGCTAGCAGAGACAACACGGCACGAGGCAACGCAGGCGGCCGGCAGCATGCTGCAGGTAGAGGGGTTGGTTTCCCGGTGTTGTGTGGCATCCGGCAGTCGAAGGCAGGGTGTCGGGGTCCTGGGGGCCCCCGGCGTGCGTTTACGGCAGCTTGAGCTGCCGAGCAGGTGCACCGACCGACCGATGTCAAAACATCTATTCTTTTTAAGTTCTCATCTCTTTCCAAGTATGTTCTCAATTTTTGCTTTCATGGTTTGAATAAGCTTAACTGAGAGGGCAAATCTCAAAGTTTTTTTTTTTTTGCTTTCTGGGTTTGCTTATATTAATGCTTGAACTGGAAACTAATTATAATAGATTCACTCCAATTGAGAGTTTCACAGATTAAAAGATACTTCTTCCATACGAAAAAGCTTGTCCCAAGTTTGTCCCTCAAATGGATGTATCTAGCACGTAGTAGTGCTAGATATATCCATCTGAGGGACAAGTTTTTTTTTTTGGACGGAGGGAATATTATAGAAATGTTGCAAAAGGAAGAGGGCTGGAGACATTGCATCCCTTTATTGTTTTGTGCTTTTGATAAATTCTATATTCAAAAGATAGAATGTTGTATTTTTGCCCAAAAAATTGTATCAGTTGGACCACCCTGGATAAAAATCCTGGCTACGCCACTGATTGTCTAACGTAGAAAATTGAGAATGAAGGCAACAAATGAGAATGACAAGGTTGAGATACAAACTGAGAATGACAAGGTTGAGATACAAACTGAGAATGACAAGACAAAAAGACTGAAGAAAGAGAGCAAGAAATGAAGGAAGAAAGTGAACAAAGAGAGACTGAAGAAAGAGGGAAACAGGGAAGAAATGGAGAAAGAAAGAGCAAAGATCCAAGAAGATCGCAACTGCCCCCGCGTCGCTCGCTTGGGCGACACGGGCGGCCGCCCAACCTCGCCACCTCAGGCTCCTCCTCTCGTTCCTCCCCTCCTCACCGTCGCCGGTCGGCTGCGCCAATGGCGGCGGGACATCTTCTCGCTCTTCCATTCCTCTCAGCGGCAGATCAATCCTGTGATTTTTTTTCCGAAAAGGGGCGCTTTATTACTTAAAAGGTTTAAGTAACACCCGGCCTCTGCATAACTGAGATGCACACAGCCAACAATATCCTCACGACAAGCGAAAAATAAAATAAAAAAGGAAGGCGAAATACAAAGAAAGTATATTTGTATAGCGCCTAAACCCTCGGTGGCCCAATCCTAAGATCATGCTGCCACCCATGTTGGATAAAAGTATCCTTCGCCGTAACCTCCAATCGTGTACACACCTCCGTAAACAGGTCTCGATTCTCCACTCGTTGTAGAGAGGACCATAAACGAAGGGTCCCAGTACATCTGTAGATAACCTGCATAAGCAAAGTACTTTTATCGTTAAAAATCTTATCATTTCTACATAGCCAAAGCGACCAAATCACGGCAAGCGCTCCCACCCTAAGTAGACTTCTGAACTTGTGATCAATCCCATGTAACCAGTTGCCAAATATATTAGCAACACTACAAGGAGGGTACAAGCCAGAAGCTATTTGGATGACTGACCATATAGAACGAGCGAATTTACATTGGAAGAACACATGTTTTATTGTCTCATCATGCGGACAAAATACACATTGCGTACTTCCATGCCAATTCCTCTTAATAAGGTTATCTTTAGTAAGAATGACTCCGCAACGAAGATACCATGCAAAGATTTTATTCTTAAGAGGTATCTTCATCTTCCAGATCTTCTTATTAATATCAACTGGCACGTCAGACTGGATCAAAGCTCTATACATAGACTCCACTGAGAATTGCCCATTCCCATGTAGGTTCCAACGAAATAAATCGGACCCCTGTGACAACTGTACCGCGAATAATCGTTGAAGTAATATGTTCCACGATTGAAGTCTAGGTCCAATTAAATCCCTTCTGAACGTCACATTGGGCGGAAATGATTCCAAAACCTTGGCAATAGTATCACCCTTGTGACGTACAATATTGTATAGAGCTGGATATTATTCCTGGAGAGTAGCATTACCTAACCACTTATCCTCCCAGAATCTAATTTCCGAGCCATTCTTAATTGAGAAGGACCCATAGCGGAAGAAATATTTCTTTGTCGCCATTAATCCCGCCCAAAAATGAGAGTCCCCAGGCTTCCAGTATATCTGGGATATCGCCTTTGAACCCACATATTTTCTCCTAAGGAGGGTTTGCTATACACCATCTTTGGTCAACAACTTAAATAACCATTTGCCAAGGAGGGCTCTATTCTTAACCTCAAGGTCATGAATTCCCAACCTGCCTTGGTCCTTGGGACGGCAAACCACACTCCATTTAGCCAGCGGATATTTCTTTCTCTCGCTATCTCCTTGCCAAAAGAATCTTGATCGGAAGTAATCCAATCTATGTAAAACTCCTTTCGGCAATTGGAAGAAGGAAATCATATACAGTACCATGTTACTTAGTACTGAATTTATGAGGACCAACCTCCCACCCAGAGATAGCAGTTTACCTTTCCAACTGCTAAGCCTTTTTTGTAGTCTCTCCTCGACGTGTTTCCATTCAGCATTTGTGAGTCTTCGATAATGTATTGGTATACCCAAATAAGTGATCAGAAACTGGCCCAACCCGCATCCGAACAAGTCGGCATACAGATGGGCCTCGTCTTGAGCCTCGCCAAAACAGAACAATTCACTTTTATGGAAATTTATCTTAAGCCCTGAGAGTTGCTCGAATGCTGATAAAATTAATTTCAGATTTCCTGCTTTCTCGAGGTCATGATCCATAAAGAGAATCGTATCATCGGCATATTGAAGGATAGAAAGACCACCATCCACTAGATGATTCACTACCCCATCAATTTGGCCATCAACCTTGGCACGCTCAATCATGACCGCTAACATATCCGCCACTATATTGAATAGCATGGGCGATATTGAGTCACCTTGTCACAATCCTTTCTTTGGTTGGAAATAGTTGCCAACGTCATCATTGACTTTAATGGCAACACTACCTCCAGCCACAAAACTATGGATCATTGCGCGCCACTCTGCAGAAAATCCTTTCATTCTGAGAGTCTGTTGAAGAAAAGACCACTTGACTTTGTCATAAGCCTTTTCAAAGTCAATTTTAAGAACCACCCCATTCAGTTTTTTTCGATGCAATTCATGAACTGTTTCGTGAAGGACAACAACCCCATCTAGGATGTTCCTGCCTTGCATAAAAGCAGTTTGAGAAGGACTGTGATGGTTGGAGGCATCCATGCGGGATGCAGCCGGTTCTCTGTCTACCTTCTCCATAGGATCCTCTCGCTCAGATCCGGCCATGGAGGGCTGTCAGCGTGAGGCCCTGAGGTGGTTGTCGTCTGCTTCTCCTCACCTTCCAACGCCATGGTGGTGTCAGCAGGCTAAGGGTCTTGCGTAGTCAGGGTCCGGCAAACATGTCCAGCAACGCTTCCTGGAAACGATGGCGTCGCCTACCTAGCGGTAGATGCAGTGACCAGTGCATATTCCATGTTGGCCCCTTGTCCTTGTTGACCACTCCGGTCTGCGTTGTCGACCTCACTACAGGATTGCGGTGGCCACCGAAAGATCTTAGTGGAGTTCCTCCCTTCAGATCCGGTGGTGACATCATGGCAAGATGCAAACTACGTATGACGGCTTGACGGGAAGGGATGGTGGTGCAGTGGCTGCGGTCATACGTCGCATGCAATAGCTGATCGCGGAAAGGTGGTGGTCACAACGCATGACTGACTTCG